GACTAGGGAACCAGTACCTGTTTTTTTGTACAGTGCCACTTAATTCCCCTGATAGAACTAGCTCCCTAAAACCATCCATTTGTTACCTGTGACTTTTGGCTGCTTACTGATGGTTGTTCTTAATTTTGTGAATGTTGAATACTTGTTTGCTTTTGTTAGAAGCATCTTTATGCATGTTGGAAGAGGACATTTGTGAATGTCTCTGGATGTAAAATTAGAATTGTATTTGATTTCCAGCATCTCTTCCAGCTGTTATATTCTAGCATTCTTTCCTTTGCTATCATTATTTAACAGAATGAAAGCCTTTAGCAAGTCTTTATAGTTAACATTGTCATTTTTATTTAGTAACTTAAAGTTAGTAATTAGTCTTTTAGGATTGATTTCTTAATGCCAACATCATGCTAATTAACATAAAACTAGTGTGTATTTACCTCTTGAGTAAACTGAACTTCATCTTTTCATGATTGTGACAGTTTTTTCTTACAGTTATATTTTTGGAATAAGTGTGAGAAATAATACTTTTTAGTGAGTTGACATCTCATTTCTTTCTGCTGATGTGCATTCCAATTCTGTCATCTAACATTTTCACTGATTACCTGGCTTCAGCTTACCTGGAGACACAGTACGCACAATTTTTATGTATTTGAAGAACTAACAAAAGCTTGGAATTATTCTATAATGGGGATCCCAACAATGCATTTATAAAAGCCTCATTCCTGGTTGTTGCTCATTGCAAATGTTAATTTTATTAGCATAAATTTTCCATTTTGCCTGCAGGAAATTCTTTTGCTCTATAATAATAATTTTTAGAACTCCGTGTTTTATCCCATAATTTACTTAGCTATTTGTCTGTATTTCTCTTAATTTTTCTAATAAATGATGTTCTTTTGTTACTGTTGAGCTAACTTTCATGAAACTTTATGATCCGTAAGTGACCTTCTGAAAGAAGGAATGAAATTGTATGATTAACAAATCTTTCTCTTTATGGGTTCCACTGCTGAGAACTCACAATTATCTTTGTGTTCCTTTGGTACACTGCGCACTCGGAATAGCTTCTAGGGTGGAAGGAATCCACCTTTTTCTTCCCCCTTGTCCTCTTCCTTGCAAGTGAAGAGAGAGAGGGAGAAAGTGTGTGGGGGAGGTGGAAGAGGGAACTTCTCTCTGATGATTCACTTCCCAAATGTCCACATGGCTGCCATGGGTGTGAGCCTGGGCGGAACTGGCAATCTCAGTCTGAGGCTCTTATGTAGCTGCTGGAGCCAGAGCTGGGAGGCAAACCCAGGCACTCGTAGGTGGATTGGAGCATGCCAGCCAGTGCCTTCCTTCACCATTAGGCCAAATGCCCCATAGGCTTTATTTTGTTTTCCTTTTTGGAAACTGTAACCTTTTTTTTTTTTTTTTTTTTGCATCTCTCTAATCTTTGAGGACTGTCTTTTCCCAGACACTGTAACACTGGTTGATCAGAGATGTCAGCCATTCAGGGATAAGCTTTATAGACCTAACAATCTGTAGGGAGCAGACTACACTTTTTCTTTACAACCTCCCCCCATTCTGTGGCCTCAGTTACCACCTAACAGTTTTTAAACCTTCAAGTGGAAGATCACAACTTCTTAGAGAATAAAGAGAAGTAAGACAGATATTCTGTTTTCTACGTTGTTTATCAGTCAGTCCTAAAGAGTGTTCTTTTGTTGTAGTTAGTAAATGAAAAGTGAAAGCTTTGTTGTTGCTGCTGTTGTATTTAACATTTAAAAGAGGAAATGAATAAAATGTAAGAACCTGCAGATGACTTAGAAATAAACAGCCCAAAATGAAACATTTAGGTAATCAGTTATCACATTGTCTACTTTTGGGAAATAACTTGTTTACATTTGATCATTTCTCTGAAATAGAAAAGACAGTGAACATAATTGGGAGCCATATGGATTGCAAAATGATAGAAAAAGTCACATAAGGACATTTACACATTACTGAAATGATGAGGGATAAAGCAAACTAATCATTGATTGACCCAGATGTTTAAATGATATGCTAGGTCTGATAGGCAAATGATATCTTTCTCTGTTTCACAAACTAAAGTTCAATAAATAAAAATGTCTCCAAATCGTATTTTGGTCCTTGTTGAGTCAGGTGCTCATTTCTGAAATCAATAATCAGCATGGGAGGAGGACAAATGGGGATGGGGAAGGAACCCCAATCAGACTTACTGAAATTTGAAGACAGATTTCTAAATAAAAAGTGGGTCTGTTCGTGAAGGATGAAGAGAAAGATGCTTAGTTAAGAAGTAACATACCCAGAACAATGTCTGTTCCATTGTGACCTTATTGTAGAAATCAGTGCATGTGGTATCATTTGACTTTTTGACCTTCATGAGCTCTTAAGCTGGAGACAGTGTGGTGAAAGGAATATGTTTTTTTGCGTTGTAAATGCTAGTGCAGAATCAAATGCTAGCTCTATTACATATTCCTCTTATTGAGGAATTTAAGGAGGAAAAAACAGATTTCGGAGTTAAGCTTATAAATCAAAACTTAGTTTTTTAACTGATAAAAATGTAAATAGAAGACTTGGCATTTGAATAATGATAATGAAGCATTCAGATGATTCAAACTCAAGTTATTTACCTCTGCTCCAGTACTTTTAACAGTAAAAGGCTTTTAAATCCAGATGTCTGCTGCTGCATGATTAACCAATATGTGTGACTCCTGTGGGCATCAACTCCCTGAAGAAAGCAGAGAAAGTGCCCACATATCTTCAGTTCCTCTGGGGAGATCTGTCAAGTAGATCCTTTCACTCAAGTGCTAATTGGCAGGTCAGCAGACCAGGCATTATTAAGGAAAATTCCTTTTTATAAAAATCATCATAGACATATCAGTCTTCATTATTTTATCTCAAACAATCTGTCAGGTTTGGTGCAATTTTCAGACAAAGCTGTTTGGGTTATGGAAGCTTGGGAGGACATGCTCAAGTAAACACACTCTCCGGTTTTTCAAGTTGGGTTATTGTAATAGTTGATATGTGAGAGGGACAGAACCTACTTTGCTCATGAAATGAGAACAATTGTTAATAGGTCAAGCATACAGATTTTTGAAGTAGGAGTAAAGAGACAATGAAAAACTGTCTCAACAGAATCCACAGGTGTCCTTGCAGATTTAACCTGAATCCAGCCAGCTTTCCTCAAATATCCATGTTAAGTGTGCCTTTAGGAATTTTAAGTTTTTACCTCATTCTCAAGTTTTATGGTCTTCCCAGTATGTTCCCTGGACCACAGCAGCAGTGTCAGTGTCACATGGGAGCTTGTTAAAAATGCACGTGGTGGAGCCTCACTAAGTTGATTTACAATTTCTGGGGTGGGGCCCAGTGATCCGTATTTTCTTGTAAGTCCTCCCCGTGATTTTCATGTGAGGTGTTAAGAATCATGGACTGTGATTTGCAAGCATGTTCCTAACAGCTTCATAGGAAAATATTAGTTGCACTTGATGGTATATTTTCTAATTCTTAATTATTTTGGGAAAGGAGAGAAGTTGATGCAAAGAAATGGCGCTTGGTTTTGCTACTAAACAGGCGTAAGGGACAGAAGGACTATGTTTCATCATGTAGACTTACGTATGGTGACATGGTGCCTATTTTTAAAGCCAAATGTAGCAACAAGTGTGGAAGAGATTAGGTGTGGAGATACTAGAGTGGGGAAGAACCTTGGGGGTAGTAATATAACCTGTGTTGCAGAACTTAAAGATCAGAAAGAAAGTTACAGAGGAGACTATTCACAGGAAGAATTAACTGAGTGCAGTAACTGAAAGGGTGATATAAGGTGTTAAGCCAAAATGATTATTTTAATGTTGATAGCTATTTAGGGAAAAGATGAATTCCATTTGAGGCATGTTAACTTTGTAGTGGTTGTTTAAAGGATATATGTATGGAGGGGGAAAAAAGCTGGGAGCTTATTATCTTTAGGAAAGTTAGGACACTAAAAGGAGTTGAACATCTGGTGAACAAATTAATTTCTGTAACTTCTGATTGTCTGCTGTCTTTGGCATAATTCTACATCATCATGATATAGTGGCAGCCAAATAGTCTCTAAGGAGACTGTTATCATTGTGTAGATGAATGAGCAAGGTAATTTTAAAAGTAGTAAGGTCAGCAAAGAATGACAGAAAGGACTATAGTGTGAAGAATTTTAGATGGGTAGTCCAAAGAAGATCTGATGATGAAAATCAGAAGGGGAGTAGATTGTGAGAGTAGGAAACCCCATTAAAGGGTTTGTCGTGGTCTTTGTCCTTTCAGAGGCTTTGCTATCCCTGGGCTTGGAGCCAGTCCAGTTCAGACTTTTCAGAAAACACAGCTTCTCTTGAGTCTTATCCTTCTTGGTAGAATAGCGTAGGATTTAAATTGTAATGATTAAATAATACAATAAATTTAAAGCAACTATCGTAGTACTTGGAATACGAGTGCTCACATGGCACTTATTAATAGTAACGTTGAATGGAGCATAAAATTCAGTCTTGTTAAATATGAGTTCATTTAATAATTATGGGATCTAATGTCTTGATACACAATTTTGTTTGAAAGTGGCAAGTGGGTGGTTTATCGTATAAAAAAAATTGCAGAAGTGTAAAACAAACTTGCAAGTGTTTATACTCTTTGGTTAGCTGTCTTGGCACCATTTTTAAAAACTGCTTGTAACAGGTAAAGCCACCTATGACACTGCCATTGCATATGGGCTTGGGTTTGTCTCCTGGATGCTCTACTTCCAATCCAGCCCCCTGCTAATGGCCTAGAAAAGCACTGGAAGATGGCCGAAATGTCTGGACCCTTGTACCCCATATGGGAGACCCTGTTGATTCATCCCTGGCCTTGCAGGGTGTGCTCTGTTCCTTGCTGTCTCACTCTATAAGTCAGTCTTTAAAAATAATGAATACCTTGAAAGAAAAAAAAAGAAGCGTATGTACTTTGTATGTAATACTGTAAGGTGGCTCTTACTGATTTGTAAATACTTCTCATTGCAGATGTGTACCTCTCATGATTGAAATGAAGAAGCCAGTCCTGGGACAAAGGTCGAGTCACTTCTCCAGGAAATGTTGCTGATGCTGCTGTACACAGTTATACAATGAATGTTTGGTGCAAGAAAGATTGCTGTATTTAAAACATTTTCATCTTGAAAGTGTATCAAGTGAAAATACAATCCTTTTGGGAAACATTTTCCTCCTAATAAATTATACCTGTAATGGGCGACATGGCAAACAACTCAGTTGTGTATAGTGGTGTGAAAAACTCTTTGAAGGAAGCCAATCATGATGGAGACTTTGGAGTCACGCTTGCAGAGCTGCGTGCTCTCATGGAGCTCCGGTCCACGGATGCATTACGAAAAATACAGGAAAGCTATGGAGATGTCTATGGGATTTGCACCAAGTTGAAAACATCTCCCAATGAAGGTAAGCTTTATTACATTCATTTTTAGTCCTTCGTGCAGAAGGTGCTTTCCATACATTTGACTCAACAGTAAACTTGCTTATATTGTCTGGTTTTTTACATGATTTTGCTATCATGATAGTGTGTTAAAAATGGGTTGGAGCCCAGGGCAGTGGCCTAGCAGCTAAAGTCCTCACCTTGCATGCACCAGGATCTTGTATGGCCACCGGTTCTAATTCCGGCAGCCCTGCTCCCCATCCACCTCCCTGCTTGTGGCTTGGGAAAGTAGACGAGGAAGGCTCAAAGCCTTGGGACCCTGTACCTGCATGGGAGACCTGAAGAGGCTCCTGGCTCCTGGTTTTGGATTGGCTCAGCTCCAGCTGTTGCAGCTGCTTGGGAGTGAGTGATCGGATGGAAGATCTTCCTCTCTGTCTCACCTCTTCTCTGTAAATCTGACTTTGCCATAAAAATAAAATAATTCTTAAAAAAGGGGGAGTTAGTAGCAGATTTGGGCATGTAAATTGTCTTTATATCAAGATATAATGTTACAAATTAATTTGTATGTTTTAGAGTAGTGGGATGGAGTAATTATCCTATCATTATTACTCTGTTTATGATCCTGTCTTTGTGCTTAAACTGTGCAGGATAAGACCAGAGTTGGTGCCCCCCAGGGGCTCTGTGGAAATAATCCTTGCTTACTGTGCTTCACTTTGTCCGTAGCTTAATTGTTTTTAGCATATGGGGCTTAAACAAAAGCTTAATAATTACTTCACTGGGTCCTAAGGCAAAGGGAATAGACTAAATAGCTGTTAGATTTTTCACCTTGAATACATTTCCTTTGATTGAAAAGTTTAATGTTGGAATTATGTTGAATATCTGCATGCCCATATAAGGAAAATTCAGTAGGACTTAATTGTGAAATGGCTTTCTAAATGATTTGAGAAGAGTAGACTTGTATACACTGATATTGAACAGAAACTTAAGGATTAGAAAGTTTCAGGAAAGCACTTCCAAATTGCAAAGGCAGAAATTGGAAGTTGTAAGTTAGCATATTTGATTATAATGTTATTAGGGGTAAGAAATTATTATTTTTAAAATCTTAAATCTTATATGTCTAAAATCCATTCAAGAAAAACAATGCAAATGTGTTTTTTGGCTTTTTTTCTCAGAAATATGACATGCTGCAGATTATAGCTGTCAGCATAATAGAAAAAGTCATTTCCAGAGGAAATAAAGAATTTTATCAGTCAAATTATTGAAATTTTTAGTGTAATTTTGTGTGAATTGCCCACTCGCTTAATGATAGGTAGTTACTTGGATTTATCTGAGATAGCATAACCTTGAGGAAGCCAGTATTCATGGGGAAGTCAACATTCATGTGTCCTAAAAGGACTTGCTTAGGTTACTTGGTGATTTTTTTTTTCCCCCATGACCTGTTTACTTATGAGGTTTTCTAGATCTTTTCAAGTCAGAGCTACTAGAAATGTGAGCTTTGTAATTATACCTTAGATACACAGTGTTATCTTAATGTAGTTGGAAATCTCTGTTGCTGTAGATAGTTTCGGGGAATCAGGAAGAGACTCATGGATTCTGATGCTTTGATGAAATTCAAGCCTTGTTCGTTATGCAAACTGACTGAAATATTAGCTAACTTTATAACAAGTTTGAGATTTGTGTGTTAATATGCTATTCTCCATTGGTAGATTCATTTGTTAAGTTAACCATATGTAATTATTATGGTTAAGTTAAAGTCTAATTGTTGGGTTTAAATTTTTAATTTTAATCATTGCATATTTTATCATCACGAATTAATAGATGTAAACATTCAAGAACCTCAATGTAACAAATAGTTAATACATTAAAGCCATACTGAACTTGAGTTGCAAACTATATTTAACTACTTCCCCAACTATGTCTTTGCATTTTTCAGCTGTGAATCAAAGTTCTTGTCTTTTCAGTAGCTGAATATCCACCATCTTTGCCCTGTTCCCTCCTTCCATTAGGTCAAGGAATTTTTATAAATACTTCAGGTTTTTGTTTTTATTAGTTTTGTGCTGTATTTTGGGCAGAAGTTTTTATGTTGATTTTGGATTAATTTGTGATGGTTAGTGAAGATTTTATATCCATTACGGTAGTTTTTAAATTTAGGAAGAGTGATGATAGTTAATGTATCCTTTTGACAACATGATGGGAGCTGTTAATAAGCTCTTTTGAATTTACCTAACAGTCAAAATTTTGTGTGAATTGTTTGTTTTGTGTAGTTATATAAATGAATGCGTTATTTTACCTACTTAGTAAGTTTCGCTTATGTTCTTGTGAATTTAGCATTTACTAAAATTTGTACAAATTGTTATCCTCACTGTTTAGCAGATTATCATTTTGAAATGCTGTACAAACAGTCAATTATAAGAGCTGTTTATGTTTGTTGTTGAAAATACAAATAGAAACTGCAGAGCCTTCATAAAATGCTATTTTCAAGGGAATTTTGTGACTCCAGAAGTAATTCTCTAATCATATAGACAAATGACAAATGTAACATGATCAGAAAGTAGGCAGTCCGAAATCTGTGTGCCCGTGGAAGTGATCAACATCTAGAGCACTCTTGTTGAAATCATCTGTTATACAGTCAGAACATGGAAATGATTCTTCAAAATACATTAATTTTGATTAGGTAAACAGTTTTGCTTACCTGTCTCTTTAGCTTTCATTTTTTAATTTGTTCATTGAGAGTGTTTCATCAGTCACGTGTTGTACATATTTTCCCACTATACAAAAAAGGGGAAAAAAATGTAGTTACTGAAGGATGATTCTAAGTAATAGTTATACCCCAATTTCAGCAGTTTTAATATTTACAAACTAGAATTTAATATGTGCAAACTAGAATTGCTGGAATGTAGGATCCAAAGGATCTATTTGATGTCTACTGTGTGACCAGTTTTTGTTCTAGACCCTGGGCATGAATAAATCAAACAAAAAAAATCTCTAATGTTCATCTTAGTAAGACAGTCATAAAACGACTAAATAAAAAGTGTAGCTATGTGTTTGTGTTATATTCTTAGGAGAAAAATGAGTGGAAGAGAAAAATCAGAAATTGCAGGACTGTTGGTATTAGGTTGCAGTGAAATGTAGAAACAACCAAGACCTTTTGTAAGAATGCCAATAATGAGAATGATAGATTATAGTTTTTGTTACTGGATGACTATTAGTTGCATGTGTATTAGCATATTTTCCAAGACTTTTTTTTAATCCTGTTTGATGTCATTCTTTGGTTTAGTAATAAAAAATGATTATCTGGGTTTGGGCTGACTTCATTTAAAGAGCTAAAGCATATTTCTGTACGTGAAAATCCATTTTGTCCCATGACACTGTAAAGAATGCCAGAGTATACCATTACCAAGAACTTTGCTTAACGTCATTGAAACTCTGAATTGCTCTGTAGGCCGGCTGCGAATCCTCTGCAGCCAGGGACAGTAGTTCCTGACAACTCTCCCCTTTTGTTTCCATTATCTGTTGCTTTGCTTTTTTTCTCTTGCACCTCATTTTAGCCAATACAGCTTGAAAACTTTAGTGTCTCATTTGCTCTCTTGCCCTTTGCAAGTCCGTGGGATTGTACCTTTTAGAGAATACCACCAGCCTTTCATTTTTATGAATTTATTTTTATGCTTCGTTTAATGGTAGTACTGGTGAACAATTAACAGCTAGAAATCTATCATCACAGAGCCTACCTCCCAATACAATATATAATCCAAAGCATTTAAAGAAAGGGAAAGATGAACAAAATTGCTGTACAGAGAAAATGATCAAGAAATGTGATGGAGATTAAGAAAGTCAATATAAGAAAATAACGAAGATACCATAGGGACTTCCAAAGTTGGTGGAAAAATGGAAGAGACATGTATATTTGTCCAAAGGAAAAAGAAGAAAAAAAGCACCTCAAGCATTTTCTATGAACTTTCCAGAGACCCTTCATGGTAAAGAGAAAGATTGTGAAGATAATTTATAAAATTAGGATGTTAAAAACAGGCTACTTTGATATAGAAAACTGCATTCTCGGATCCTGAGTAGGATAGATGCTTGCTCTTGCACAGCTAAAAATATTAAGCTATAGGTCTTAGTTCGAGATGGCTTTGGAAGTTGCAGTCCCTTTTCCTTGAACAGTAAAGAATGTCAGAACCACTGGGGAGTTTTTTTGTTTGTTTATTTGCAACAAGATAAATCTCATTACATTTTCTTTATTTTGATGCTTTCAGTCATATTGTATAAAAGTGTACATTTTAATATTGATCTGCTTGAACACAATGTATTTTTAACCAGTTGGAAACAGCAGGTATTCCAATAATCAGGTGTTTTGTGCTTGTGCTTTTCTTATGGAATATACTGGTTTTTGTTTGTTTGTTAGAGATAATTTCTATTTTCTTCTTTGTAGCCTCTTTTGCATTAATTTATACTGCCTGAAAACGTTATTTTTAAATCTTGAGTTATCTATTATAGTTCACTCAGATTTATTTACAAAGTAATTAATTCCTGAAGGAGTTATCACTGGCAGTCATTCAGATCAGGTCTCATATTTAAACATTGCTTACGGGACAAAAGCATTCCACATGCCCTCCTGACAGGGAGCCCCAGTCTTCACATACTTCCATTATACTATCTCACATTTAATTTTCCACATTAACTGTTAATTTTCAGAAATAGCAACCTGGTGCGTTCATGCTTAGGAAAGGCAATTGCCACAGGCCAGGGCACATTGGATAAACACACCAAGTGTCTGACAGGATCATGAGGTTGAAAGTTTTCTGAGTGCTAATTACTGAGCTCAGGAGAGAGAGAGAGAGAGAGAGAGAGAGAGAGAGAGAGAGAGAGAGAGAGAGAGAACATGTACATGTTGTAGGCATTCACGTTAAAAAGCTGAGTTTTGTTTTTTTTCTCCTAGCACCCTGAATGCTGTCCTTGAAAGGGAAGAGATAATTATTGTGGACCTGGAAAGATTGGGAAAGATTGTAGCTGGCAGCCTTTCTAATTT